GGTCGACTCTAGAGGTCCCACATATATATATATATATATATATATATATATATATATATATATATATATATATATATATATATGTATGTATGTATAAATATTTGTATGTATGTATTTAAGAATGTTAGAATGTATGTGTGTATGTATTTATGCATGTATCTATGTATGTATGTATGTATGTATGTTTTTATGTATATATGTATGTATGTATGTATGTATGTATGTATGTATGTATATATATATATATATATATATATATATATATCTAAATATATTATTTATATATATATATAAAATATATCTATGTCTATATATATATATATATATATATATATACACTATATATATATATATATATATTCCGCACACGGGTAAATTATTGGACGAAAAATATATTTATTTTTTTGCTTGGACATACACAGAGACATTGAAACACAGCGCGCGTCGGATTGTCATCTGTATGGTATGTTATTGACCCCGTGTGTAAGACTACATTGATGACTTCACAGGGTTCAGAACAATATTCAATGAAGAGTGAGACATTATTTTATTCCTCTCATTTGCTGTGATCATTCATCGTCTGCGTGGCCTTCATCTTCGTTGCCTTGTAGCAACCCCCCTACCTCTTGATGGAAGTTGGCTAGCATGTCTCTGAGCAGCTCGACATTCAACACGAGCCCGTTGCCGTCGCCGTCATCCTGCTGCGTGACCAATCGTTGCGCTTCCTCAACCTGTATATACGTTTCGAAATATGCCACATTAATGACATGTATGACGGATCTGCCCATTAAGTCGATTTCGAACCTTGACTGACCTCATGCTCACAAGATCGAGCATTGCACTAATGAGCATACGCAGGCTGAACCATGAAGGCCTGGCTCAATTGTGAAGTTTACTGCTTCGTCATGCATAGGAACCACATGGCAGGCCCATCAGGTAAGGCTGCGAACGGCAAAAGTACTTATAGCAAACTAACTGAGGAATCGAACGTTGACAGCTACAAACCCCCTAGCCAATGATAGCTTGGCATTCATTTTAACACTCACTGTAGATCACACCACCAGCCCACTTTTTTAACTTTCCGCCCTTCGCGCAAACATCTACTTACCCCGAACGATGGCATGATAGAACGCAGAAACAGATTAAGTGCCGACTGTGTAGAGTCAGTGATCAGCGCTGAGTGTTGTTGTTTATAAGGACTAATTCCATCCAGGGGCGGCAGGGGATCGAACATGCGCGTGGACTCATTCTTGACCTCATCCGGAAGTGTGGCCAGCGCCTCAGGGTTGCCTGGGTATTGAAATAATGAAGATTAGGTATGTAACATGCAAACTACTCAGGACCGTGCAATTCGTACTGTCGACTTGTGGTATCGGTTTGCGATACAAATGTGACCTCAAGGAACCGTTTATGGACAAGTTAGCTGCTGAATAAACCCATCAAACGCACCTAGGAGGGTGTCAAAAAACTCGGTTCCTCTTAGCACATAAACTCAACAGACGCACAAACAATCAAATTTGGTGTCAGAGTGTAGGTAAATACTCGCCAAGAACACCCTGTCGGCCTATCAACCGATATGTCGACCAAATCACAAAACCAGAGTACGTCACAACACAACACAACACGATATAATACGTCATGACATGGCATGACATGGCACAAACCTGACTTGTTATAATAAACTATACCGGGAAAACAATTCGTGAGTGCAACGGAACAGAACATTTCTAGACAACTTGAAGGTTTAATGAGATCGAGGTTTTCTTTGGGTGTATGAGCCTTACCTGACAGCACTATATGTCGCGCAATGTCGCGGGAGCCTTCTCCATTGAACGCGGATTCTCTCAGCAGTCGATTCTCGTCCACAAGGGCCGGTTTGCTGTTGATCTTCGCAACTACCCCAGCCATAGTGGCCCGTACCCACGGCGCTACCTGAAGCGTAGTTCGATATTAGTACTAGGTTAGATATTAGAAGAAAGTTGTTGACTTAGGTAGTATATTACTAGGGCTCAAGTGTCGGGTGCTCAACTGCCGAGAATCGAAAATATGTGCGAAATAAACTTTGGGTTTCACTATATGCCTGGCAGTTATGGTTTTGTTCCTGGTATACGGTTGAACCAGCGTATCAAACTGCTGCCAACTAGAGTAGTCAGTATACACAAGTCTCACGACCGTTGCGGTTGTCTTCTCATATCCTGGATGCACACACTAAAACTCATCACACGTGGCCTTCGCCAGATATTGAGGGAGTGCATACCATTGGTTCCTTCCAGGGCTTCGATGTGCGAGCTACGTAGAGCTGTATTTGCCCCAGAATGGCTCGATCTGCATTGCTATTATGCAAAGTATCAAAATAATTACAAAAGCTTTGAATAGTTGAGGATATGAATTTAGTAGGAAAGGAATTTCCGAGTTATAATCTATTTGATACGCATGTGACACAAACAGCTGCAGTGAAATCGGAGACCGATCCGCTAGTAACGCAATAAACCAATACAGTCATATTTTGCGCTAGCCCACATCTCAATTTTTCTAACCGATGGCAGGGGAAGGCAGCACAAGCCCCCCCCTATGCAACTGGCAACACTAGCACCAACAGCAAGTGCCGTCACCAATATAAACTGGTCTGCAGCGAGAACCTATGCACAGCACCCCAGGCTCGGTGAGTACTTTCACTCGCCACTTCCCCACACCTGACTATTCCAAGTTTTTATATAAAAATTTGACAAGGAAATATTTTCGAGGAAAGTGCTCGGTGTGGTGCATACCCAATTGTTGAGCTCGCAATTGTTTCCCTGAAGAACGGGTTGAAGAGAAGCGTTGTGTTGATCTCGATCTCGGCCGCAGCAACCAAGGGCGCCAGCATGTCGGGGAACATCAATAGCGCATTCTCCAGCTGAAGATGGACGAAACGAAGATTTCTCTTATCATACACTAAAATGAATAGGCAAAGTTGAGACACTGTAAATAGTTGGCATGCTATGCGCCTTGTATGCGTATCTACATGCTCTTTGGAGCGCCCAGTCAAGCATAGCAAAAGCACAGAAATCGATATGCTTGGGTTAAGATTGTTTTTGAATCGACCAGGTTTGACTGATGACTAATATAGCTCACACCCACATAGAAACTCACCAGAGTCGTCGAATCCGTGTCACCAGCCAAAACTACACCGCCCTATATGTATGAATACCAAGGAGGAAAGAAAGTAATGAATGAAATCGGCCTACTGAATGTCACAGCGGTAGAATTGCTGTAGCATCTAACTACATCATGCCCTCTATTGGTATAAAAATGGTAAGTTCCATCCGAAAATATTTCAAAAGCAGGCAAAAAAAGTAGGGCTGAGACTGTTCATGTACTAGACACTTTCCTGTCGGGTCGTGGAGTATTGATTTAAAGACACATGTTCTCACTCAAATCCAAAGCACATTGAAATCAGTTACATTCATCAGAGTATTGAAGAAATGCAAAATAACATCAAAAGCATGAACTATTTTGTCCAGATACAGTATTTTTGGTAGTTCTATATAGAGACATTTCGAAAGCCAAGAATCGATAAATAGGTCTCTAAAACATACGTACTGCCTCCGCCCACACAAACAGATTCGAATTATAGGTAAAAACAGATGCAAGAAGGTTTTTATGTTCTCATGAAGCAATAATGCTGTTTGAAGTTTGTACAACCATATTGAAAAGTTCTGTACGAGGTTATTTGAGTAGCATCAACCAAAAACGTAAATATATAATCGATTTCATTTCCAGTGGGGGGGCAAGAACAGGGAATCGAGGTGGGGCAAAAAAAAAACTCGGATTATTAGCATACCGAAACATCAGAGCCTAGCTCGTGCCTTTGATCCCATTCGGCCTGAAATGCAGCTAACGCGAGCGAGAAGGCGAAGTTGGGCAGTAGATGCAGATGTCTATCCTTGTTGGCACCTGGGTATGGCAACAAGTTAGCAAGTTGGTATGAATTCATTGATAAATGACAGTACCGTGATCGACATTGTCATCGCAGTGGAAAACAAAAGAGGCACACCTTGGGTATTGAGCTGGATAGAAGCATCGACACATAGGTTAGGTATTCGAATCAGGTATGATGGGTCAGATATGGTCACTAAACTCTCTGGGGTATAAATATTCTTGAAAAGGTCAGAAGAGTATTGGTCCAACGACTAGAGCACAACACTCACGATCGAACTGAAGCAGCCATTGATATTCTCGTGACTGCAGAGCGTAGCAGTCGATCAGTAAGAGCGAGCCCAGCGGATCTCGTTCCTCTAAACTGTAGAGCACTTTGCAAACTTCCAGCGCTGTCCGCCAACATCCTATAATAGTGGGAGCATGCGAGCGAAAATTCCATACATGAGTAGAACGCACGGTGAGAAATCATGGAAAAGTTACCTGATTTGTTTCTATGATGTCCCTGAAATACTCAGCGTGTGAATAAACGATACATATTCAATTCGAGTCTTCCAATCGAAGGTATGTTGGCTGGTGCTCGTGCACGTATACAAAGCGTAATTACACATAGATCCATGACAAATACAAACCGTGGTAATAGGTATCGCATCCTCATCTTCGTTTAAAAATTGATGCTACAAATGCCATCGCATCTAAGCAAGCAGTTCAATATAAAGATTGGGAGGTAGAAGTGATGAAGAGATATCGGACACACTGTTGCATTGATTGACAGCAGTAGCAAGGATTAGCACACCAGCAAATAGGAGAAACCGACACATTCACTTTGGTTTAATGCCCGTACTCTGTCAGTACATGGCCACATATCCACCTGCCTGAACTGAAAACGATATTCTGATGACAAACAGAAGAGAACATACCCTTTTGCGCAAGCTTTTCACTGTGGTGGTACAGGCCTAGGAAGAAGCCCCTGAAAATTAAAGATATAGAAAATCCGAAATGCCGCGATCAGAACGAAAGCAGCACTCCAGGCTTACATTGCACGTATGTGTTTCATGGAGAGGGCTATACGACTACTAAAATCCGCAGAAAGCTCGTATGGCAGTATCAAGCTGCTGCACATTCGTTTGGATAGAGAGAAGGCTGAAGTTGCTTAGTAGACTTGTAGAAAAACCACGTATAATAATGCGATGCGCGATAAATCTATGGAGCACCCCAATTTCTACATATCGTGCATGTACGCTTCACAATTTTTGCACACTCCACTCTGGAGCAATTCTACATAAACGCGAAGACATGTTCACTGCAGGCATTCCTAGAAAACATCCCAGCGTGCGAGCCCGTAAAATAGCATCCATACATAGGCCAAAAAAAGGTGCTCCCACCGCCATACCTATTTTCATAATTGCGATATAATAGTTTACTGGTCTGAGGATCGCCCATGCGAAAACGCGAGTGGAGACACGATTCGTGGATGTACAGGACCCGTTCTGGATTGCGAAAGAATGAAATGTGACTCATATACAGCAAGCAGTTAGCAGAAAGGCTTGGTTTGCAATTGGATTGCCAGGGTTTGAGAATGAATAGGTGGATATTATCCAAATGTAGCGACATCGTATATCCCTACTGATCCTGTCGTGCAGAAAACATACGACTCAAAGGTATCGCGCATTTCCACTCCCAAAGAAGTATCGTACTATCCAAAGGACGTGCGCTTAAAAGCACCCGCTCTGCAAAGCCACACTGTGCGTTTCCAAAACAAATGTTTTTTGTATTAAGTAACATTCGCCTGACATACAACTGATAAGTGGAGTGTGCCGACAACTCGGCCATCTTCCCAGCACTCAACAATACAACACGACCTCGCACCACATTGGAACAAACCTATGAGATCGGCAGCTGTCTGTCTGTCGCCTTGTATGTTGCACACCTCTGCCAGCTGTAGCAGAGAGTCTATGTGACAGGGATGCCGATTGAGGATAGCCACTATGTTGTTGGGATCGAGCGAATCCACCGCTTGGAGAAATACTTTCTATCAAAAATTGAAGTGATAGTGACATAAGAGCAACGTTGAGTCTATTGCTTTGAACTAAAACTGATCATTTACTATGCTTCTATTCGATGTATGTACCCAATCGTTTAGCAAAAAACAAGATCTTTTAGCAGGTAAAGCACTATAAAATTATAACTGGCATGGCAGACGGAAATTAGGAATATCCGTGACTACGGCAAAATTGAATATACAAATAAATTTCTTGACGATGACTCATATTCATGTTCATACCTCCACTTCTTTGTAAGCTTTGCCGTGCTTGAATGAGTATAAAGCATCGTCTTCCGCACCCAATTCCTTCTCCATGTGTAGTCCAGGATTGGCCCATGGTGGCCACGTGGGTTTGGGCTGACAGAGCCAAAACTTCCGTATATACCTTTGACAAATCGAATCGAATATTTTCAGAAATAGATATAAAACCATACCCCAACTATCAGCCAACAACATGTGACATACTAATCCGTCGGCACTATGGAGCCTATACACGATATTGTTGAATCTAACATGATAATGTAATACGTCACTATGAATACAGAGAGCTTGATTGCATGCTTCGAATTTGTATTGTAAAAACTTGTAGATATGCATTCACGACAATCGTAGACTTAAATACATTCCAGGGTGACCACCATAGAGATACACCATGTGATATTTATCACAAGCCTACGGTACAAAAATACCACGGGTGCATGGAGGAGAATTGCACGCCGATAAGAACAAATCCGTTGTTATTGGGGTTCTCCAGCGATTGCAGAAAGAACAAGCCACCATAGACAACACATGGTTGGAAGGAAGAACAATATGACTGAGTCTCTGATCAATATAGCCAGAATTGACATCGTTCATAGAATCTGCGTATGAGTTTGCTTAGGCCAATCAATACAGAACTGAACACCAAAATACTAGCAAGAGTTTAGCCGATGAAAAAAAGGAAAACATATCCGTCCCGGTTCAATTCACACGCACCTGGTACGGTTGCCCGTTCTATTTCTGGCCTGTTCATTGATAGTGCTACTCCCAAATAATCTCCTCATCTCATTCTCTGGGTTTAGGAAGTTCCGGTTTACAGCCACCACATTGTAGCGCTCAGTTTCTGACTTGCCCCTTTTCTCTTTCGGACTCTGCTCATCTTGTACATTCGTCTGCATGCAAATGAACATACAAGGAGTAAGTCATAGCTGATGCGGGTCCTGGATATCCCCAACAACAAATATGAACAGAATACGAGATGACGAAAACTAACATATCATTACACGACACGCCTCACAACACAGCGCACAAGTGTGAAACTTCAGGTAGCTTATCGACCGTTGTGGCAAGTGAATAGCGGCCCCATACAGTACAAGCGTCATAAAAACTACACGCAGGTTGCAGTCATCCCTGAGTTCGTGAGGTATGTATTCAGAAAAAAAGGAGAGGCACACTTAGCCAAGTATACGTACCTGCTGGTCTAAGAGCTCCATTTTCTTCAGCTGTGCATCGAGATCATCGTCGCTCAGGGCCTCTTGTTCGTCATCGGGCACGGAGTTCACTGTGACACTCGCTGCATGCCTGCCCTTTTTCTTTTTCTTGGTCTTCTTCTTTCTCGCATTGGGATTGGGCTCTGGTTGTTTATCTGTGATAGAGGTAAACAAATGTTATTTGTCAAAACATAGGACAGAGGAGAACTACAGTTTGAAAAGTAGTTATCTGGGGCTCGGATTTCTAACGCGAAATCGCTATAGCCTAAGACGCATTCACAGCCACGAATGTGATACGCACACATGCCATACCTATTTCTTCATCTGTAATTGACTCTGGTCCGTCGTCATCATCGTCGCTCTGCGCTCCATCGCCATCTGTGGCCAAGAACTGGAGTGCAATGGGGTGCAAACGAAAACGTAGGTGAAAGTCGTAATCGTAGCAAAAGGTGACAATGGATAATGGCTGAAAGCTTGTCGTGAATAAAAATGCGAAATACACAACGTCGATTGTTATCATGACTGTACAAGTGCACAAAGATGGGGGGGGGGGAGGGAGGTGTAATGTTATACGAGCAAGCAGATTTTATCCACTCATCGACTATGAGGCCATTTGCGTGCGTGCACATATTTGACGTGACACACTGCATAAATGGGAGTCACGCGCCACATCTCGGTAGGTATATGAGGTTAATTTGATGTGTGTAGAGGGAAAATTTCACACACGAGGAAACGAAGCAATCTACATCTAAATTTTAGTATTTAAAATTGTTTACACTAATACTGAGAGCATCGCAGAACATGAAACTATTCACTTTAAGGCACGAAACAAGAAAACATGTATATAATATAATCCCATAT